AGAAACCGATACTTGGAAAAAAAAAGAGATTGCCGGGGGAAACACGAGACATAAAACTGGATCGGGTAATTGTACGAATGGGCATTGCATTACGGGTGTAATAATACATGACATTTTCTCCGGCATTGGAGGCAGAGTGCACGTTTTACGGTACATTTGGAGAAATTCAACCGAAACGTCGAATTGAAACGAGAATAATAATAAGAGCGATGATATGATAAAAATGATACTATAATAATTATATTAATGAGACCCACATATGGGATATAATAAAATTCACGAAGCTGTGTAATGTGCAAGTAATGGACACGGGAATATGAGCGTTGCGAAAGGTATATTCTTCTGGTATTGATTTTAATACTTTATTATATTTTATTCTATTAAACTTTATTATATACAGAAGAATATCAATACATATAACATGATATATATATATATATATATATATATATATATATATATATATATTATATGAAGGATAGGAACACAAGAAGACAGCAACGACTGTTGCTGCTATACACAGAAAAATGTCACTCCATCACTGAGAAAAGCAAGAACTTAGTTTACTTTCCACCTTTTACGTAGTGGTTATCTTCAAAGAATATTTTCTTGACAATAGTTTTAAAATATACTTATTACAAACTTTCAAAAAGCTCATATTACTCAAAAGCAGATTTTTTATATTTTTTGCAAGAATATTATAAAATTTTGCCTCGATGAAAAAATCGATTCGATTTTATGTAATAAGCCGAATTCTTATTTTAATTTCATATTCATATGATTCATGTTTATATTTATATGATTCATATGATTAATATAATATTTATATGATTGAAATGCTAAACTTACTAGGAATGAAAATGTATTTTGAATAAATATATGATGCTTATGATAAAATTATGATAGATTTATATAAATTTATGAAATACTTATGGAACAAATAACATTTGTTTGAATGCAATTTTTCTATACATTTCCTGTGTAGACTGCCAGAGATATAATGATAAAAAAAGATAAATAGTAAAATGATATTTTAATGACATTTTAATGACAAGAAAAATAAAAAATGAAAGAAATAACATGAAAGAAAAATGTGAGGAATATACAAGATAAACGAGTAAGCAGGATAAAAGAATGTACTTTGAGGAACTTGTGGGATTGTTATACGAAGATGAATAAAACCACACAGTAATGTGATGTAATGTGAAAGAACTACTTAATTGTTCCCGAAATACGAGCGTACGTAATGTTACGAATGCGCGCTCGTATTCACTGTAAGCGTATATAATGTTATAATTTTATTTGAATATTATAATCTCATAAGAAATACAATTACCTCGATGATAACGATATCTTCTTCCGACATTTAAAAGTATTGTATTCTCAATCTAATATTTTGAGTTTTCTATTTATAAAAATTATTTTTGAATAATAAGAATATATTTTTTGTTTAATCATCTATAAAAAATGTATCAATGAAGAGATAACACAATCTTTGTTTAGCATTATACATAATCTCATTTTTAAATTTATATGTAAAAAATACAGATGTTTTGAAAGCTCTTTTCTGTGTGTAGAACGAGTCCTCAGTTGGGATAAAAATGGAATTCCGTCTCCTTTTGGAATCTCATACTATAAGCCAAGATCGAGGTTCGTCATGAAGAAGGTCAAGCCGAATTGTAAGCGAAAACCGTAATCGTGATGAATTCTTAAAGCTCCTTGTATCTCACCACGGCCATGTTGGATTTGTGACGTCGGAAGCGAGGAACGACACGCTGATAAAAGTTACATTTCAAAATACGGACGAAAGAGCATTTGAGATTGTTTGAGCATATTTATTGTCCGAAAAATATCTCTTTTCTCTGACAATTGATAAATAGTTGCATAATAAATGGTGGAATAAAGCATGCAGACAAAAACAGAATTATTTTACCATTTAACGTGTCTTATTTCGTTATTTATTATTGACTACTACGACTATTTGTTGATCGTCAAGGGAAAAAGATTTTTTAGACAATTTTACAAGTGTGCTCAAGCAATCTCAAATGCTCTTTCATATTTACTCAAAAATGGCATGCAATTTTCGTCAACATGTCATTCCTCGCTTCTGACGTCACAAATCCGACATAGCCGAGGTACGAGGAGCCCGAACATAACGTCTCGTCGCGCGATACGAGATCTTTTTATAACCTCATCGGCCTTTCTGAATTTATGATGTGAATCAATCAGCGATCAACATCGGTACAAGCTCCTTCTAGAAGTTTCAATTTCTAAAAGCTTGCTAATAGAATTATAATACGGCCGGGTAAAAACTATTCACCAACTGCTTCGATTTCCAAATACGGAAAAAGTCCGTATTTTGTCAGAAAAGTTTCCAAATACGGCATTCCTCTTAAACAAACGAAATTTAAAAAATATAAGATCCGTAATATTTCAGTAACGTAACGCAGTTTCGAGGACTGCGACAATTTTTCGTCTGCCTCATTCGCGACCGTTTCTACTTGGAACTCCACGAATAGTTTGAACGTACGCGATTCGTCCGATTACGACAGATGGAAGCAAAATCGAGTCGCCTAGTGTGTGCTTAGGATAATTATTTTCCACGCGTTCCAACTTCGCGTCTTTTCGCAAATCTACTTGCATCGCTAGGGCCAACAAAAACGAACGGACCGTAACAGTCGAGTTAACAATCAGTCTCTCTGGAGAGTAAGATAGACAGCACGTCATTCTCGTTCTGTTAAGTGCGGAGCAATAATTTCCGAGTGTGGTTCTCCGTGGAGAATTCGTAACGTCACGTGCGGAAATGGTGGGAATTAATAATGCCGTAAGTTATATGGGAGGAATTGATGTGTCAGTTGTTGTTGACTCAGTCTTTTTATAAATTGGAGCCGCCTTGCAAGCGCTCGTGTGCGCGTTGCGTCACTAGGAATTTTTCAATTGTATCCCCTCCCTTCTGTCACTTTGTCTTTCTGGAGTTATAAATTGGAGCGCTGGAGTTATATGTAGATTTTTATCTAAACTAGTGTACAGCGTGAATTATTATACGTTACACCTATTTATTTATACACGCTTGTGCATATATATTTTATTTAAATGTATTTTGAATAGATTTCAGCATTGTATGGTCTATCAAATAATTAGTAGCATTTTAAATTTCAACCTTTCTAACAAGCAAATTGGTTCTTTTACAAATTGGAGCCGTTTAGTAAAAGCTTATATGAGTGTTGATTCACTCGGAATTTTCCAACTATATCTTCCTCCTTCTCTCTCATTCCTTCCTCACTCCTAAGCGCTCGAACTGCATGCAAATTTTTACCACTAAATTAGCATATATAAAGCGCGCTATTATACGTTATATTTATTTTAGCTGTATTTGTTTGTATGTATTTTATCTAAATACATTTTCAATGCATTTCAACATTGTTCAAACTGTTAAACTTGCAATCTTCTTTCTTTTTAAATATTAACGCTTCTAACATGCAAAGTGTCAAACTGTCACGCGTGCGTTGGCGCTCACTTGTTCCGTCATTTGCATCAAATATGCAAGAACCAATCAGATGCTCGGTAAAGGTAGGACAATGGAATTTGAAATTTGTAATCCAAAATCGCTTTCCAAAATCTCGAAAGCCCTAAAGTATATAAAATAATTCAGACTCAATATTTTTATGCACCTATTCTAATGTTCTAACAATATTAGGACTCGACATGAAATCCTGACTGATTGAATCGATACAATATAAAAATTCTTGCGTAAAAATTTTACAATTTTCTTGGGCTGTCAATTTTTGGTTATTATCTTATATAAAATTAACGTACAATTAATATGTTATTATTTTCGTTTTAATGTAATATATTTATATCAACATTATAACTTAACAATTTTTAAAAACCATGCAGATAACATATAGTTGCACAAAATTGCATTTCAATATTTCTAATGGCTTTCAAATTAATGAGAATACATACAAACAAACATACAAATTGAAAATCTCTTTTGAAGTCGGAAAAAACACTTCATGAATATTTCATAATCCTTTTACTGATGGGATTTTTGTGTGTGTATTATCTATAATAACCAATATTTTTTATTCCTTCTGTTTTTAAAGGAGGCTATCTCTATGTATCTCTCTCTTTCTCTCTCGCATTTTTCTGTATCCTAATCTAATTTTTTAAAGTCGATTAAAAACACTTCACGAATATTTCATAATTTTTTCATCGATGGGTTTTTATATGTTTACTCGTAATAATAAATATTTTTAATTCCTCTCGCTTTTTTAAAGGAAGTCATAAGCCATCTATCTATCTCTCATTCTCGCAATTCTTTACACCCTGATCTAATTTTTTAAAGTCGATTAAAAATACTTCACAAATATTTCATAATTCTTTTACTAATGGATTGTATTTACCTACCAATATTTTCAGTTCTTTTCGCTCATTTAGAGGGAGTTATAAGCCATCCGTCTATCTCTTTTCCTCACAATTCCCTGCATCCCTAATCTAATGTTTTGAGGTCGGTCAGAAATACCTCATGATTTTTTTACTAATGGGGTTTTGTATGCATTACCCATAATCCAAAATTCCCAATATTTTTCATTGCTTTCGCTCTTTTGGTGGGGATTAAGTCACCTGTCTATCTCGCAATTCTCTACACCCCTAATCTAATTCCCCAGTTCCCCATACCGGCCGCGCGGTCGGTCGCGATCGTCATGGCGCGTCGACGCGGGAAATGACAACCTGTCCCCGGTTACCACCACGTTTATTAGATCCGTTTTTGGGGATTCCCCGGCGATTTGTCCGCGGTTCTGTCGCTCGTTCTTTCCTAACCCATCCTTATCCGCCGTTATCTCCCCACTATCTCGCGTTTCTCTCTCCGTTCGTTCATTCTGGCGTCGCGACGGAGGTCGGAGGTCGGCGGACGGACGGACGGACGGACGGACGGACGGTCGGACGTACGTAGCGAGCGAGGACCAGCGCGGCGGACTGGGAACGTCAGAGTGCTCTCCGACTTCGTCGCGCACGCATCCCTCTCTGGCACGGCGTCGCCTGGCGGGCAACGGCGCGACCTCGCGTATCGTTTCGTCGATCATATACACCGAGAGCAACACGTTGCGTCGTTCCTGTTGTTTTGTGACGGGCCGGTGAACGCGTCCGTTCATCCTGTTCACCGCTTCGGGAAAGCTCGTTCGCAGTCACGGCAGCCGGCGGGAGCGGAAATTGAAAACGGCGGTGCGCGATCTGGACCGAGAAACTGAGTCTCATTCGGCGCGGAATTGAGCCGCGGAGGGAAGAGTCCTCTATTTCTCTCTCTCTCTCTCTCTTTCTCTCTCCCTGTCCCTCTATCTTTCCCTCTTCGGCTGTTACGTCATCGCGGAAAATCGTCTGCTGCGATCCGCCGGAGCGAGAACTCGCTTCGATTATCGAGCGCGTTCGATTGCCGCGGAGTGCCTGACAGGTGAGCGTCTTTTTCCACTTCCTCCTCTGCCGAGACCAGCGGAGCATCCCCGCAGGATCTGCGACTCGAGGCTGCGTTCCTCGGGGCCTTGGTGTGATTTCGACCTTAGTGGATTCATCATCTGAAGATCGATTCGCCGGAATAACGTTCGAACCAGGTGAATCCCCGTCGAGCGGGAATGGACATCTGGCAGAGACGACGCTCGTGAAGGCCACCGGTGTTGCGTTTTTCCCGCTCGTCCAGTGCGCGAATCAGCTCCTCTCCGTCGGTGGGGAGGAAAGTTGCGGCCAGGTCGACTCGGCGGGAAAATCCTCGGCAGGGAGGCCGTCGTTCACGGAGCGAGGAGTGCCGCGCGCAGTGGAGAACCGCGATCGAGCGCGATGCGCTGAGGCATCGATCATATCGAGCGGGTCGAAAGCGGGGACGGACTGGGCGCTCAATTAAATCGCCTGAGCGTCGCGGACGGGCACGGGATTACGAGGACGGACGGAGAGTGACGGCGAAGTAAGGAGCGAGCGAGAGAACGAGCGGAACGGAGCGAAGCGAAGTCGCGTAACTCGATTGATTGGCCCCGCAGTGATTGTCGCACGGCCGACGAGAGCGCGACGCGATGCCGGGAGATGTTGTATCGTCGCTCTGAGAGGAGGAATCCGGACCGTTGGCACGTCACCACCGAGAGCGCGAGCACCAGATACTCGGAGCCCGCTCCCGAGTGCTCCGCCGAGAGGCCCCGCGTCGATAGAGGGTGATGCTCGTGGCTCGTCCGAGTGGCGAACGTCGTAGAGCGTCGTAGCAGAGCGAAACGGCGACGAGAGGAACACGATCTATCACGAGAGCTGCGAGTGGAAATCTTCGTCGCGAAGGCCCGGGATCCGCTATATTAATTGCCCCTTGTAATTGGGGTTTCTAGGATCGCGCTTAATTAATTGGCTCCGACGTGAACGATGAAGTGGTGCGTGTTGGTGTTGGTATTCGCCGGCCTGAGTAGAGGCGATAATGCCGTCGATACGGATTCTCTCACTCTCAACTGCCTGCAACTCAATTCCCAGGAAGAGATAGATCTCGACAAGGTACGTGAGTTGTCGTCGTCGTCGTCGTCGTCCTTACCATCGTTCAACCCCCGCGAATCCCTCGTGAGCCGACTTCAAACGAGCGGCGCTCGCCTCTTTCCCCCGCCTTTTTCTCTACGTTTCTTTTGCCTGCCTCCCATTTCGTCCCCGAACAATCCGTATTACGTAAAATTTCATGTGTAACGAGATCCACCGAAACCGCTCCAAGTCTCTTTCCCTGCGGGAGACGTTCGCGCAATTATACCGTGACTTTAACCTCTATATTTTACGAATCAGTGAAAAAAATATTTTGTTGGTCTGGGTAGAATTCGAAATATTACAGGTTAAAATTTTTCGTTGTTTTTTTAATCCGCTAGAAAATTGTTTGTGGTATGTAAAATTTGCAGCAGCAGCATTCTAGGAATATCTGCTGGAAAATTTGAGGGAATGCAAGAATTATACATTTGTTTGTCTCTGGTCTTTTTGTCCATCACAATCAAATTTTAGAAGAAGAGTGACTGGTCCACTTAACGTGGACGTCACAGAGAGGCTTTCTTGCTAAATTTCACGAATAACTCAGATAGAAATTCTGCCTCTGTCATCTATATTGATTAAACAGAAATCTGTATTGATTTAACAGAAATTTTGTGACATGTAGAATTTGCAGCAACAGCATTCTAGGAATATTTACTAGCAAATTTAGGGAGATGTTAGAATTATACATTTGTTTGTCTCTGGTCTTTTTGTCTATCACAATCCATTTCTAGAAGAAGAGTGACTGGCTTTAACGTGAACGTCTTTCTTGAGAGAGGCTTTCTTGCTAAATTTAACGAATAGCTCAGATAGAAATTCTGTCTCTGTCATATATATTAATTAAATAGGAAACATATTTGATATCGCAAAGTTTGTTAGTCACTTATCCGTTTTAATTAACTTTTAATACCTAAATATTTAAATAAAGACTGCAAGACCATTTTATTGAGTGGCACACGTATGCGCGCTCGACGTCGTGGTACATTGTTGATTGCTCTTTTGTTTCAATTAATTATTGTGTTTCATTTTCGCCCGATGAATAAAGATTTACTCTTTGCTAATATTAAATCAACTGTAGCGCGCAATTTTTCCCTTCGTCTGCGTAAATGCGATTACTTAATATTGATAAATATACGATTAACGTGTTTGAACACACATTCATTAATCGACTGAGTATCGATTGCTCGAGAGGCGTAAACGCTATGCTATGTATGTGTGTGATACACACACAACTGTGTGTAAGACACACAACATATATGTATTAAGAACAATAAATAGGAAGCAAATAAGAGCCAATCGCTGTTACTCGCACATGATCAAGCTTATCAGTTCAATTATCAAATGTCATCAAACTTCTTGACCCTCTTCAGTGTACGTAAGTAATAAACCGTCAAATTCGTAACCACAATAAAAGCAAAGATGTGATAAAATATCCTAAACAAGATTGACTGAAAATTATTCTCTTGATCGTGTTTCTTATTAATCGACGTTTGATTGTTCTTACGACATTTAATGTCGTATCAATTTTTATGTTTTTATAGACTTGATTACGCGCGAATATAAACAATTGCCTGATATTTGCCTTCTACTTGTTGTCTTTGATCAGAACCTTTTGTCATGTACAGAGTGAGTCACCTAACATTAGATTCTGAAAGATCTGAAAATTATATTATATTTTTATATTTATAATTATATTATATAATTATATTTTTCATATCAAAGGAAAATGTGCAATGAGTATTAATTATATGCTTGCAAAAGATAAATATTGTGGCCCTTCCGACTACACAATTTATTTCTTATACATTTTCCTGCCATATAAAAAACATCAGAAGTATTTTCGAATCTAAAGTTAAGTGACTCGTATACGATCATAATACATATTAATACTTTATTATACACAGAGAGAATGATTTATTGAATCAAATAAATGTTTCTTTGGAATAGTCCAAACAAATTATTTGGTGGACAAAAATATTTTTTTGAAACTAAGCCGCAAATAAATATTTTTGTTGCGCCAAACAAAATTTTGTTCGATCAACCAAAAAATTCATTTGGACTATTCCAAAGAAGTGTTTACTTAATTCAAATCGTATTCTCAGTGAATATATATTAATATATATTAATATATATTTCATATCAAGAATAAAGGATATTCAACACATTCGGAAAAGAGTTGCGAAATGAAAGTTGTCGAATCCGCAAATTTGTTTTTGCACCAGCGGTATGACGTAAACTAATAGTCTGATAAATTCGGTCGAAAGTGGCTGCCGCTACAGTGAACGTTAATTTCGCGGGAGAAATACTGGCGAAAAGAGAAATACCGTTGCTCCTCCAATCTTACGGACTGTAAGACGCGAAAGGCGCGATTCCAACAATCTCGTTGCTCTCGCCGCAGATTAATGTAATTCCGATAGTTTGCGGTTTGTCGCGTTATTGAAATATGCGACAGCGAACTTTTGCTCGCGAACTGTTACCCGGCGATGACCGGGCTGGACGCGAATACAACAAAATTCGTAAATTAACTCGTACACTCGTTTCGCCGCGATATTAAGTAATTCCAGATAAAAAAGGCAATTACAGGATGAGGTGGGAAGGGCCAGAAAGCGTTTTGCCGCGTCAGAACACTCGAAAAAATGTTTTGCTGGACCGGGCAGAATTGTAAGTGTCACAGTTAAAATTTTTCGCTATTTTTTGCATCTGCTGGGAAATTGTCTGTGGTACGTAGAATTTGTAGCAGCATTCTAACAATATCTGTAAGCAAATTTAGATGAGTGTGAGGATTACTCGTTTGTCTCTCGCCGCTAGTACTTTTTGTCTACTACAGTCACTTTGACAAGAAATATGGCTGACCTTTGTCTGGATATGGGCGTTACGGAAAGACCTTGCCAAATTTCACAAATATTCTGGTAGAAATGTCTGCAGTTTTCGTAAATACCTGCTCAATTATAGTCTAATGTTAATGCATTCTTATCAGTTGTGGAAATATATAAATTGGATTTATTGGTTGAAGCAATTAACTGCATTATACGTATACACCGATTCTTTCCAAGGATATTGATTCAGTTTTATAATGTGTGCACACATTATGATCTCTATTGCGAATAAATGTAAAACGTATTAATTAATTTATATTATAAATGTGTTAATTGTTAGAAAAGAGCTTAAAATTGCTTGAACAATGAGTGAACGTGTAGAAAGGCATGGAGCAAGGAAAGGGAAATTGGAGGAAATAAGCCACTTAACAACATTAAACTTTAACAGAGATGAGAAATAAGGTTAGGAATGAAAGTGAGCAAAAGACAAGTGGATTATACATTAATATAGAATATCATCGCGATGAGAACACATCAGGCTCTATTCTGATACTAAACTGTCAGACTCAGAACTTGATAACATGGTACAATTATAAAAATGGATAGAAGGATATGTGTCGTTTAATGATTGTGAACGATGTCACGTGAAAGGCGAGAAACATATTGCAACAAAAATATAACAAAATTCTCCGCAAAGATTACCTGCGCGACAATTCTCACTAACATTAACTCTCTACTGTCCACTGTGACTCTGAAGTCACAATCCAGTTTCATCATTATTTACCTCCAATATGAATGTTGTTTCTGTTTTGACCGATGTGACATAAAAGTCACAAATGGCTGCCTTTTTTTAATATGTTGGCAGCGATAGTAACTGCTTAACGTGACTTCACACACCTATTTTGGGAAAACAAAAAATTAGAAAAATTTTACCTTATATATGTTGAGTACTTTAGTTTTAAACGACTTATGTACATGACAAATTTTTGAACATGAGAAATCAATTTGGGCAGTAAAAGTTTTTCAATTTAAGAAGCGTGCACAAAAGATGAAACTGCTAGCTCAGATTTGCTGACTTTACAAGCAGCAGACTCGACTATTAATCAATTGAATAATTTTGTGTCCATCTTCTGTCCTGCTTTCGTAAATAGGTTCAGATTTTGCGCATTTTTCATGCGCAGTAATTGCACAGGAGAAGCATTACATCTTGATTGGGGCATCCCACATAATTTTACTCTTCACTTACTGATTACAACCTAACTGTCCAGTATAACTGCAGGAAAGCTGCATTAAATTTCTACCAGAATAGTTCAGATATAAATTCTGTCGCTGTCATCTATACTTGATTAAATACAGTGCAGTGTGTGCGGAATATCGCAGTGTTTGCCAGTAGTTTATCCATCTTAACTAATTCCTCGTATCTAGACAATTTCCGCTATGACTGCAGGACCATTTGTTTGGAGTGAAGCAAGATTCGCGCGCTTCTCGTGCCAAAATCGAGAGAAATCTCTCGCAGTTTCTGCCGCAGATCATTGGAATGCGCGAGTGAGCGCCGCTAGACATTAATTTCCCGCCACGAATTTTTGTTCGGGAGCGACGTCCCCGACACGATGCTGAATAAGATTTGCAACTGGATGTCGGGAAAAAAATTGGGAAACGTCAATTTCGTCCCTGTATCTCCCTCGGATACGCGATGTCTGCTCCACCCTGTACGTACGTATGTATGTATGTATGTATGTACGTACGTATATACGCGCAACATGGCGCGCCCATTGATTAAACCAGGTTTAACGGCGCTGTGTGTCATGGCCTCGGAAAGCAGGTCAGCCGTTTCTTCCTTACCGAAAAACCTCCCCCCCGAAATTTATTTCGCCGTTTAATGGACGTGCGCGAATTTGCATTTTAGTGCATGAAATATCGCTCCGAGTCGTATTGCATAAAAAGCAGCCTCGTCTCGGAGAGATCCGGCGGATTAAGATGTTAATTCGGCATGTTATTAAAATCCCGCGATATCCTTTTCCTCTTTTCTTTTTTTTATTTTTTATTTTTATCAGTATTCGCCCCTCGCGAATTCGTCGCGGCGACAAGAACGATTGCATTTGCAATCGAACCAGAGTGGGGGGGAGCGGTGTGTAGCAGAGCAGAGGAGGGAGGAGAGAGAGGGGGGAGAGG